TTGATGACGTCATTTTCTCAAAAGCTGCTATTGATATATAAGGACCTTTGTGATAGTGACATCATAAAACACATAATATAAGTGGAATTACAAGAACCACAGATGTCTGATTGAAAATTGGAATGGGGTAAATTAATGATATCCATGTCCCTGATACACGTAAAGCATTTAGAAAACCTCTTAACAATCCCTGAACTGAGAAACAAGTCAACTTACTAAATCTTTTTTTCGAGTTTCAATGACACCCTCAGCGAATTTATGCATGTAGTCACATAGTTTAAAAAATTCCTTTCCCTTCGCTGTCATTTTATATATCAGAGTTATTAAATGCAGGGGAGTTCTGAAAAAATAATTTTCAATATTAATAAGGAAAACGTCAATCTAATTTTGCTTTATTGAAGACCAAAGCCGTTTTGACATCAAGGCAATTTAGGCAAAATCCATCATGCTGCATTTGACAAAAAAGAAATTTTGTTTAAAAAATATGATTATAAATATATTATTTGCTATGTATATTGTTTATTTAACGTGTACAGTAAAGGTGGGTAATATTTGAAGTCTACCGGAAGCGTTGCAATGAAAAAAATAACTGATTTCAAGAATAACAGGCTAGGTTTTCTCGAAACGATCTTAGCGCTAGGATATCTTAGAAACAGTGTTAGAAGATAAGACCCTAGGATATCCTATAAACAGTGTTAGAGGGTAAGACCCTAGGATATCCTATAAACAGTGTTAGAGGGTAAGACCCTAGGATATCCTATAAACAGTGTTAGAGGGTAAGAACCTAGGATATCTTAGAAACAGTGTTAGAAGGTAAGAACCTAGGATATCCTAGAAACAGTGTTAGAAGGTAAGAACCTAGGATATCCTAGAAACAGTGTTAGAAGATAAGACACTAGGATATCCTAAAATCAACCTTAGAAGATAAGACCCTAGGATATCCTATAAACAGTGTTAGAGGGCAAGACCCTAGGATATCCTAGAAACAGTGTTAGAGGGTAAGAACCTAGGATATACTAGAAACAGTGTTAGAAGTTAAGACCCTAGGATATCCTAGAAACAGTGTTAGAGGGTAAGAACCTAGGATATCCTATAAACAGTGTTAGAGGGCAAGACCCTAGGATATCCTAGAAACAGTGTTAGAGGGTAAGAACCTAGGATATCCTAGAAACACTGTCAGAAGTTAAGACCCGAAACGATCTTAGCGCTAGGATATCCTAGAAACAGTGTTAGAGGGTAAGAACCTAGGATCCTCGAAAAAGAAATTAAGATACTAGGATATTCTAGCGCTAAGGATTTTTGCCTCATTGGACAAAAGACCCTAGTTACGGCCTAGAAGGCACGGTCGGTGTCAAGACCTATCATAGTATTTCAATACTTACATGGACCTCTCTATAAGTAATTTACTAACTCTGTTAACACTGCTAACATACGGATGGTTACTCCTGAAGAATTGAAAATAATAATAATATTCATTCCTCACAAGAAATTCAGGTTTAAAACTTTGAAAGTACTGTCATGAACAATGCTGGGATCTTAGATTACCTGGAGTCTTGAACATTCGTCACCTTTAGACCTAAACTGCTTTAACCAATCAAATTTACGCCTTCTCCAGTGTTTGCATCTTGTGACACGATCAAAAGGTGTATTTCAGGATCAATAGACTAGTTTATCAAGTCAAAGTGAAAATAGAAAACATGTCTTTTCATTGGATGTTTCGAATTGAACGAGTTGATTTGATTGGTTAAAGCAAACGTCATCAGGTTAGGTCAAATGGTTAATTTGACGAATGTTCAAGACTGAGGTCATTAGACCCTACTGTAGAGTGGCTATACTAAAAATATAAACTAATACAAAAAATGAAAAGAAAGTTGGGTTTAGATGGTGATGAAAACATTTTCTCATGAAGGCACTGGCCTTGGTCACAAAGAAAAGATTTATGATAAAACAAGGTGCAAGTTAAAGGTTAAGATAATTAGATATGTTAACTAAAGATGTCTCTGTAATACTATCTGAGGTAGTATCATTTCTTTAGCTGAAATAGCGGAAAATATAATAGTCAACGTTCTTCTGATATATCACTAATCATCTAAAGATAAAACCTGTATTGTAAAACAAAATCTTGTTGGGTCTAAGACTGGAATATAACATACCCTAGAATCTGTATGTTTCCCTGGTATGAGAAGGCACATTGCAACATAGTATCCAGTGTGGCTAAACTCACTGGAGTAAACACTTCTACAAATTCTCCATTTTTACATTCTTTTTCCAACTTTTCCTAAAATACCGAATATTCATTAATTCATAATTAATTTCCCCAAGGAAATTCTCCCCATCCCACCAGAAAACTCCCCCCCCCCTCCCCCGCCCCAAGCCCACCAGGAAACTGTCTCCACCCCCACCAGGAAACTATCTCCACCAGGAAATCTCCACACCGCCAGGAAACTGTCCCCACCCCGTCAGGAAACTGTCCCCACCCCACCAGGAAGCTGTCCCCACCCCGCCAGGAAACTGTCCCCACCCCACCAGGAAACTATCCCCACCTCCTCAACCACCACGAAAGTGTCCTCTCCCCTTCCCTCAATGAATGAAAAGCTCACCATGAGTATATCTGTCACACTGTTATAAATAGTAATATATGGCTGTAAAATTTCAAAATGAAATGCCGAGGTCAAAAGACGTCTGTTTCTCTCCCATTTTTTACCTTTACTTATTAATAATCCTTCACCTGAAAATATAAATATGCTGTGGGCAATGAAGTAAATAAATAAACATGAAATAATTTGCACCCTGTAGCACAATAATAAAACTCTTTAAAAGAGATCTTAAGCTGCCAAAATCAACTGGGAGTGTAGTGTTATTTGGATATTGATTCTGGATTCTTTATGAGATAATGAAGGTCACCCACACACCACAGAGCTTATCATAGTGAAGCTTAATTCAATAAATATTTTGAACTCAAGCTCTAAGTGTTTCCTAAAAGAGTGATCAGCGGCCCCAAAAGTCAAGATTTCAGATGGTCTTCATACTTAAAAATAAGATTTTTCACTGGACTTAGTTGTGGGGATGGGGTTTGGGGGGAAAGGAGGCTGGGAAGTTCCACTAGTAGCCATGGGACAATGGCATACCTCCTAAATAGGACACTGTACAGTACTAATGAAAATAAAATTTAAATTAAAAAAAAGTTCCTACCCAGCCAAGGTTTGAGCAGATCATAACCATTTCCACCACCAGCCTTCGGTTCTTGAGATTTTAAAATAACTTTAATTGTATCTGGATGTCCTACAGCTATGACTGGACGTACAGGACCAAACCAATATAAAGCTATCTTGTTTCCAGCATCAAACAACTCCTGGTTTAGATCTACAATTTCTCTTGCACTCTCCACCTGATTAATAAAAGGCCAAAAATAAAATAACAAAATTTCCCTCATTGCACTCTGATATGTATAGGGTATAGTCTTTTTTCATTAGCCTAAAAGGGAACATAAAGTGCGCAAAAGTTTCATTTTATTAGTCCAACAAGGCACAAAATAGTAGGATATAAACCTTCATTTCCAACAAGTCCAATAAGGTACAGAACAGTAGGATATAAAACTCTATTTCATTTCATTAGTCCAATAAGGTACAGAACAGTAAGACATAAAACTCTATTTCATTTCATTAGTCCATAAGGTACAGAACAGTAGGATATATAACTACATTTCATTAGTCCAATAAGATACAGAACAGTAGGATATAAAACTACATTTCATTAGTCCAATAAGGTACAGAACAGTAGGATATAAAACTCTATTTCATTTAATTAGTCTAATAAGATACAGAACAGTAGGATATAAAACTCCATTTCATTAGTCCAATAAGGTACAGAATAGTAGGATATAAAACTCCATTTCATTAGTCCAATAAGGTACAGAATAGTAGGATATAAAACTCCATTTCATTTGCGAAGTTTGATTTATAAGAAACTTGACTGAATAAAAATTCATCAAAGTTGTGAAGTTCCCAAAACTTACCCGATGTAAAATACCCAGAAACCAATGCATGGGATGATGAGCAACTTTAGATGTCAGACTACACCAGCTTCGATATATTATAATAAACTTTGTAAGTTTGTAAATCACATACGCCAGGACAGCTGTTATTATCACCCCCAGATAAACAGACACCATTTTTATTATCTATTCCTGAAACAGTAAAAACATTCTGATTATAATAATTTCGTTTCATGTATGTTTCTATAGGTTACTATGGTAGAAAAGTCAACACATCAGAGTCCCGTTGGATGTCGAGATGGAAGAGGCTATATAAGAGAAAGGCCCTATCTGAATAAAATTACTTTAAAATAGGTTCCAAACCCTGAAAATCCCAAATCTTCATGAAACAATGTTCTAAAATACAAAGATACTGTTAATCAGTATTTATCAGAACAATCTGAATATTCTTGATATATAATTATTAAAACTTACAGCCTCAACCAAAGTTATTTGGATTAAGCTTATTGATAAGGGGACATGGTTTAAACGACTATGTTACCCAAGAGGTCTAGCCTAACCTACATACATATGAATTCAAATACAGGTAGTAGCATTTGTATAAAATTACACTTAAAAATACAAAGTTATTATGACCCAATGTAGATATTGCAAAATATGCTTGTATCACATCCCTTATAAGGCCCTTTGCACTTTGTGACCTCATGAAACACTTAGTTTTAGTGGAATTGTAAGAACCACAGACATCTGATTGAAAATTTGAATGGTGCAAATTGATGCTATCAGTGTCCCCAATACACATAAATATTAGAAAATCTCTTTACAATCCCTTCAACACCAACGCCCTTAGTCCTATATCTACATGGTGAAGACTGTATAATCTATTCATGACTAGTCATAATTCATAAATACACAAAAGCTAAAATAAATATTAAAATGATTGAATGAACCAAATTGAATTATTATAAATGATTTTAAACCTAGTTTATTATTCAATCAGATTACAGTATTTCTGAGAATCTAGATTTTAGCAATTGTTTGTAAACTGGGTGCTGTATATGATTATATGATTATAGAAAATCAGAGTTTCGGACTACTAATCATATTCCGAGAACCAGTTACCTAATTCAATTCACCCTTCAGTTGCTGGACTTCGACATGGAATGTCCTCTTAAATACAAAACAAAGATAGGAAGATTTCCATCTCTAAGGTAACTAATTTAAGCGGCAAATATTGATCAAAAAAGGTCAAAACAATGGAACCGATTCTTCCAACATAATGATGAAACTCCCAGGTCAGATATTACGGACTAAAAGGTTCCAGTGCAAACATGCCAAAGCTCCCATTTTAATTTTCTCTTCTGCCCGCCAATCTTAGGACAGCAGTTCAACAGGGTTCGAAACCTAACGTATACAGAAACTAAACAAAGTGTATCTCAAACATTAGATACTTACCTGAATAGAAATATTCCAAATGGGAGCCGGTGAGTCAATTTCTATCTTGAAATATTCTCTAGTTCAGGGGTTAAATAAGGTCATTATGGTTAGGGGTCAGAGGTCAGAGGTCAGAGGTCAGAATCTAGATTTCATTGTGAGTTATTTCCCTTTCACAACTAGGGGTTTGTCAACAAATAATTATTTACTTTGACTTTGGCTCATATTTTAGTATTTAAAATACTACTGAATGTCTTAGATTGTCTTTGGGTTGATGAAAATGTTAACCACTGGAAATGTTATTTGTAAACATGGTTTTATAGAGGAGAATTTTGAGTCAGAAAAGTAGGTCATTTTCACTTGAATTTTCTGGGAGGGAAGTGTATCTATTCTAAATGTAAAATCACTGAACCTTATATTTCTATGGGCCCAAAGACATTTTAAGACAAATGGTATCGGTTAAAATTTGTTGTGTCAACTGAGCGCGCGGATTTGAGAAAATTACCACCTAAAAACAACACCGAGTGCAGGGTGATCTTGTTAATTGATTAAACTAGATATTTAAATATGTTTAGAGATTAGAAACGCTACAGGAAATGTAAGTTATTGTGAAGCTGAGACACAGATTCGTCATTTTATTGTTCATCTTTTTAACTTGCAGGTTCCGACTCTTGTCGCTCTGGAAAACATCAAAATGACGGCGTTTGTGGCAGTATTATTCTCTATGTGTTTGAAACCAAACCTTCCAGTCAGACGACACATGTCAAATATAGTCATCCCAAAAATAAAACATTTAGTTTTAGGGGAAAAACAGATACGAGATCGACCTGTGTTCGTGGTCGGGGATATTCACGGATGTTGCGACGAACTTGAAGAGATTGTTACAGAAGCTAGAAAAGAACATAAAGATACTTTATTTGTGTTTGTCGGAGATTTGGTGAATAAGGGACCGAAAAATTCAGAAGTTTTGGACTTTTTGGAAAGTTTGGGCGAGCATTACGCAGTGAGGGGAAACCATGATGAAGTCATTTTAAAAGAACTGCACAAATTTAACACGCAACCAGATTACAAATTTCTTCCCAAAAATGAATGGATGAAAAAGTTGACTCGCATACAAGTGGAATATTTGCAGCAACTACCGTACACTATTCAGATTCCAAGTTTGAATTCCATAATCGTCCACGCAGGACTGATTCCTGGAAAACCCTTGGAACTCACAGACTTCAATACTTTCACCAACATGAGGAACATCATAATTGAGGATTATTTTAACGGAAGGGGTTTAGTAGCGTCTAATAGCCATGCTGTGGGTGAGCCCTGGACTTCCTTGTGGTCCGGTCCAGAGCACGTGTATTTCGGACACGATGCAAAACGCAAGCTTCAATTACTACCGCTTGCGACAGGATTAGATACCGGATGCTTGTACGGTGGTGCGTTAACGGGTGTATTTATTAACGGCTGTAAGAAACTGATAGCAATCCCGGCTAAGAAAATTTATGTGGATCCCGATTCATAAGAAAAACGTGTTGCTTTCTGTCTGATTTTTTGCTTCCAGGTTACTCACTAACTTATCAGGGTTATCAAAAAATATATAGTCAAAAAAATAAACAACTAAAATGCAAATCCCTAGTCTTCTATTTTGCAAGCGAGGGTCGAGATTGAGAACTCTCGAAGAGCCTGTGTAGCTTAATGAATTAGATGCATGATCGCAAGTTCGAGTTCAATCCCAGCAATACCTTTGAATTTGCTATCTTGGTTTCCCCCATCTTCACAATGCCAAGGTATATTACGAACACCATACGTATACCTTGGCTGCAAGAGCCACCTTTCTTGTATCACGGAATACAGTTATTTAATTGGATTGTTCGGCAGCGAATACAGCCAATCAGAGCCCTGGACAGAAATGATGTAAACTTTATGGCTTCGTGTTCACAGACTTTCTGTCGGGGCTTCTTGTTGGCCGTATTCGCTAGGGAAAAATCCAATCAAATTGCTTCATTTACAAACTTCCACGATACACGAAAGTTAACTTTTGCAGTCAAGGTATCTTGACATTACGAAGATGAGTTTTCCCTTGTTAATGATGTAGATCAATGTTTAAGTGATTGAATGGGACAGTAAAATGAAATTGAATTAAATGAATGGAGTTTTACGTCCTACTTTTCTGCACCATGTGGGCAAATGAAGACGGGCAACGCCTTGCAGGGTGCAATGAGGGAAATTGTGCCAGGACAGCGGCATTAGCCTTTCTCTTTTTCCATTTCCAACTGTCGAGGGATCTTAAACGTGCCCAGCCTGTAACACACGGGGAATGGGGGAGTAAAGAGAGGCTGCATATGCTGAAAGCTGTGCTCGTTAAAAATCTATCAAAGGATGGAAACGGGGTAATCTGAAGTAGCCCGCACAGCATAGCTTGGTCATCCAGCTCTAGTCGGTTTTTGAAGGTTCCGGTATAATCTGGATAATTCTGTTCTAAATCAGATGGAAATGGGGTATACTTTAATGTTGACCTCTTGAAAATTGTTTCCCCTCACTGCACACAGCAAGGCTAAAGTAGCGAATAGACGAAGTACGGTGTCCAGAAATCCTTGACATTGTGAAGATGATCTTCAGTATAATCCCCCATTTCCTGTATTTTTGAATCAGATTTTAAAGAAATTTGAACTGGTAGCCTATATACATTTTTTATTTTATTATATCTATTCATAGCTTCTTAATCTGGCACCAGATATCGTCTGTAAATCGATTTCGGTTTCTGATTGATATTTTGGTCTGCTTGTATTCCTTTCATTATAAATCGATAACCCTGCTACAAAGTTAAATGGAAAGTTCATGTTTTTTTAAAAATCATACTGGTACTTATAATATTATAGGTTTTTCATATACCCTTAGATACCACAGTGATTCAATAAAACTGGTTTTCTCAATTTAAAGGGATTCTGTGGTATAATTATGAGCTGACAGAATAGCAACATAACCAATGGCGGCGCCAGCCTACCAAGACTGGGGGTACAAATAGGGGGAAGACCGACTACCATTCACTACCAATCAACAAGAAATACCATGATCAGAACGAGTTTGGAAGAATGAAGGAGATCGAGTAACTCACGCCACACCATCCAGGGCCGAGTTTCACCGTCATGTCATTCGACCCGACCAGATCTAACGAAGAATCAACAACCAAACCAACAACACAGAATCTTCCAATTTGAACCAATCCAACTACCAACTACTACGACTACCAACAACTACCTAGTTTGCGATATCAGCATCCGCTGGAAGCGAACGTTAACTTGTCATCTACTAACCAACTTTATGGGGACAACTGTCTGGGATGAATTCATAATGCGGCAACTCTGTGGAGGTGTCATTGTCGCAAGCCTCTCATTGAGCGTCTGAGAGGGTTCTCCCAAGAAAATTTTCGAAATATTGAATTGATTTGGCGCACTCTAGCACATAACACGTATAAAAATCACATTTTTGATATTTGTCTAAAATAAAATGGAGGTACAAATCAGGGTACAAACCATTTTTCTATGGGAGGTACGGGTCCGGACACGGCGCGGACACGATTCGTTTCTTGTATTTTGTACTGCACCGATAGTCCCTCACCGGACACCATACCTCGTCTATTCGCACCATCAGGGACAGGATGCAAATATGTAGACTTATATCCATTAAAAAGAGCATCGAATATGTGTGAATTTGAAGTGTGTATTTTATGAATGTTAACATCAGACAAAAACAACTTCAGAAGTGAAATAACTGAAAATCTTTTGTGAATTTCTTAAACTCCAATAAATGATGTGTTTTATTTTACAATAAACAAGAATGACGAGGACAATACAACTAAATTAATCAATATATAACATAAACACAACATACGTCTAATTATGATTTCAAAATAAAACTCACATTTAAAGGTGCGCCATTTTTGGGGGTTGATTTTAGTTTTGAATATATGTAAATAGTATTCAGAAGTATCAGAAATGTACGAAAACTTCATAATTCCTTTCAAATACTTCAAACTAGGAATTTTACTCACTATTTCTATACATGTCTTCTCTTTATATCACAGAGTATCTTAAATTGACGAGTCGTCATTTTAACTTTTAAACGCAGATAATTCTGCGTACACACATTGATTTGAAGGCTTAAATTTCGACGGTGATCTGTGAACACTATTATTGATTTCTTAAATTTTGAAAAAAAAATGGTGCATCTGTAGCTTTTAATTTTTTGCCAAAGAAATAGGGGAACAATTGGCGAATTAACCATTTTACTGGGGGGGAAATAGTCCGAAACATCAGTCTCTGATAGTTATTTTGACAGTTATCGGCTGGACTAGAGTCAGAAAAAATAGGCTCTGTTTTATGGGGATTTTCCGCATTTCAAAAATGAAATAGAGGCGGATTTTCGGTTTAGGGGAGGACTGACCCCAATCCCTTACCTGTAGCCTAACTGATGCCGCCACTGGTCCGGAAGTAAAGCACCAAGAAATGAATACAGACGTTACTGTGTACACCTACACTTATCTGACATATAAATTCCATTAAGAAGAGAGTTGTGGTTAGTGTAGCATCGAGAAATAAACAGACTCTTAATTAAATACAGAGATTTCTAATCACAGTTATCGATTTATTCGATCTTCTATTGATCATTAACATCCAGTATGTCTCTGGGCAGGACAGCATTGAAAAAAAAATAAAGGCACGAATATAGACGTTTTTGGGAATTAATTGAAGTAGTCGGATATGGGCAATAGAATTGAAAAAAGGGGGGGGGGGGGGCGAGGCAAACGGCACCAGGCATTTAAAAACTCAGTGATGAGGGAATGGGGGCAAAGGCGGGTCAGCCTCATGATTACCCCCAACCCATGGCGGCCAACCCCGCCCCCTTTATTTTTTATTAACGCCACTGTGTGGGTAGAACGAAAGAGACCAATTTGAGATTACTCCGACTTGAATAAAACAAATGAAAAATATTAAATATATTTATTTCACACAAAAATATAAAGTATAAAATCAAAGGGATAGATGAGCTACTTTTTGTGGTTGATTTGAGGCTTGAATATAAATAAATATATAGTGTTCAGAAGTACTAGAAATTCCTTCAAATATATCTCAAACTAGCAATTTCTTTTCCTATTTCTTTAGATGTCTTTTCTACATATGCCAATGTCTCAAGAAAAGACGACTAATCTGGGCGGAAAATTCTGGGCACACATTTGAGGGTGATGTGAACACTATTACTGATTGGCTTATCTAAAACATCCCCGTTTCTGAGATTCAGCCGACGCGCACAACTGGATGCTTGGAGCTTATGAGAGAACAAGAAAAATTTAAAAAAAAAGAATAGATTTGGTGCATTCGGATATATGTTTTCGGGCTAAAAAGTATGAAAATCATGATTTTAAATTTGTTAGAAATCTAGTGCGGGTACAAAACATTTTTCTTTGGCGCCGCGACTGTCTGACTTATATATGAGAGCTTGGACTGTTGTCTGTAAATTGATTGGGTATTTTCAATCGTCAATTGGATATAAACTGTGGGTGCTATCCCAGATTAATGGGATGCTGTCTGTGAATGGATTATGTTTTTTTTAGCTATGTATTCTGAGTGTTGTTGACTGTTTCAATCCATTCCATTTTATAATAATCCCAAGAACTGGACGTACTGACCGAGCCCCCTAATTCTAAAAGATATAATTTACAATTACTGGAGCTTGCTGTTGAACTGTACCCCCAATAGGCGCACTGTAGGTTATCTTTACAGGTCGAGGCACAATCTACCCTGTTAAAAACCTTGGAGCTGCTTAGATCTGACACGTCAGTTAATGTAATGAGTTTCTGAGAACCATACTGAGCTTGTACTGAAATAGAAATTAGAATAATTAAAATAATTGAAAAAATTAAACAAATGTTGTTTCTCATAGTTTCACGCTATTCGATTAAAATAATACATTAACAAAATATTATCACTGTTAAAATAGTGCTCAATATATCAATTGTAAATGAAATGAATGGAGTTTTAAGTCCTTCCTTTCTGTACCATGTGGAAATTTTGCCTGGACATCGGCATTAGCCTACTCTTTTTCGACTTCCAACTATCTGGGGGTGATAAAATAATAAAAAAAAGTCTCAAGTCTCCACGAAGTTTTTTACTTTAACAAATAAGGAAGATAATCGATCTATTTTCCACAAATAAATATTGCACTTATTATGATCGATTTCCAATCAGTGAGTTCGATTTGTTTATCTATAATTGATCAGTAAAGGATGTTAAATGGATCAGATCGATATGACGTATTGATTATTGATTTGTTACTAGGCTGCTCCCCTCAGTTACGTTCGCGATCTATATTCTCCCATAAAACCCCCTTTGATATGCTTAACCGCTTTATTTAATAGGTCATTCTACGGGATTTCCCTGACCTGATTTTGCTATTACGAACTTTGAACTTATTCCTTGACTGCACGTTGCCATGCAAGCTTACCATTCTTGTATCACAGAAAATAATTGCTCCGATTTGATTGGATTGTACGCTAGCGAATACAACCAATCAGTGACCTCGACTATAATATTTACAGTATTTCTGTCGAGAACTCTGATTGGCTGTTTTCGCTAGTGTACAATCCAATAAAACCTCTGTATTCCGTGTAATAAGAGAGGAGGTCATTGCAAAGTATTAGACACAGTTCATTATAGCTTGACATTGTGAAGATTGACAATCTGGCTCTACTTTTTCCTCGGACTTGATATTCTGATGGGATATGTGGTAGTATCCCATCAGTATATCACGTTCCAGGAACAGATAAGGCTTAATTTGTGGGGCTATATTTTAATACCTGAACTAAAAACTTATACTACTGTATCCGGAATAAAGGTTTCGAGGAAGTATGACGAACGGGGGTGTGGTTTGGACACGATGTATTTATACTTGAAGCGAACTCACCGACCAGGCCCCAGGCCACAAACTTTACGGCCACAAACCCTTCTTCATATTTAGCCGAGATTTTACTCCGGCCGCTATTACAGGTATAACTGATTGTATCAAAGAAAAATATATATCAACCTATTCCTTAGAGCATAATGTTTCTGGCATTATCACATTAATCTTCAACTTTTACCTTTTCTTGATGTGAGTGTTAAAATGAATTTGAGTAAAAACTAAGCTGAGCAGGAGAGATGTTTTGTGGCCCTGAATCCAGGCGTTTGCAGTCAATTCTTACCATCAATGGGGTTACAGACGAAATAATAAAGATTTTGACAATCTTTGTCCTGCCATTCCCACTTGTTATCAATGGTTGTACAGTTCTGTTCTGTTCCGCCATTAGGTTGTTCCCGCCTCCATTTGAACCATTGAACCATAGTACCGTCCAACCATCTAAATATATTCTCTACTTCCAAGTCGTTTATACCCATCCAATAAAACGCTTTTCTATAAAAACGAAACATTTAAATTAAAGGAATTGTAAAGAAACGTTCTATATTTTTTATGTGTATCAGGGACACTGGTGGCATCAATTTGCACCATTCTAATTTTCAATCAGATGTCTGTGGTTCCTGCAATTTCACTAAAACTAAGTGTTTGATGACGTCACTAATCGCAAAGGGCCTTGTGTGATGAAGCACATTTTCCGATTAGTGACGTCATCAGACACTTAGTTCTAGTAGATTCAGTTTTTCTACTTACGGTTTCACTGATTCCATGAAGTCCATCTCCGCCTGACTCTCGACTTTAGCCAGAAAGGCGCCCTTCAGTTCGCAAGTTTCTTTCGCCGTGAACCAATCTGTTTTTTTCTCGGAAAACAAGAAACATTTCGAAGTTCCCGAATCGTAGTATCCTCCAGTGGGGCAAAAACCTGTAATTTATTTTTTGAAAAGTTAATTTTGCGTTATTAAGAGATTTGATTCTGTTATCAACGTTTCGACAATATTTCTCTTGTCTTATAGTTTATGATCATACTTTTCACGATCGCCATCCGTTTGACCAATCTTACCTCAGTCTCAGAAACGGGATTTTTTTCAGCTAAGCTAATCAGCAATAGCACACCGTCGAAATTTAAGCCTTCAAATCCATGTGCTATGTGTACAGAATTATCCGCGTTAGAAGGTTAAAATTGAAAAGAAAAGATAGTGAAATTTCTAGTAAGAGGTATATTTGAAGGATTTATGCCATTTCTAGTACTTCGGAAGACTATTTACATATATTCAAGAATTAAATCAACCCCGAAAACGGCGAATTATGCCCTTTAAACGTTACAATGTTTCGATAAATTACAATCAGGCCATATAAATATACGTGTGAATAAGAATAAATGAATGAATAATTGAATAATTGAATAAATGAATAAATGAATGAATGAATGAATGAATGAATTAATAAATAAATGAATGAATTAATGAATTAATGAATTAATAAATAAATGAATGAATGAATAAATGAATAAATGAATAAATGAATAAATGAATGAATGAATGAATGAATGAATGAATAAATGAATGAATGAATGAATGAATGAAAATATAAATAAATTAATGAATAAATAATTCAATGAATAAATAATTCAATGAATAAATGAATGAATGAATGAATGAAAAAATTAATAAATGAATAAATTAATGAATAAATAATTCAATGAATAAATGAATAAATGAATGAATGAATGAATGAATGAATGAATGAATGAATGAATGAAAAAATGAATAAATAAATTAATAAATAAATTAATAAATAATTGAATAAATGTAACTATTATGTTACTATTATATAATAAAGAAGAATCACGACGTTTCGAGATAATACACTCTAGTGTATAAGAGACCAGTACTTACCTGTCACACCAAAACAACAGAAAATAAGAACAATTAAAATTTCTCTACTCATCATTCTGGCTTTAATTATTGAGCCTCCATCTTTAAAATATCAATTTCAAAGTGTATTTTCTGATTCGATTAAAATTTTGAAGGTGAAAATCCAAAATTTCGTTAAAGTTTGATGAGATGAATGTAATCCAGACCACTCCTAATGTGTCAAGAAATTAAAAATTCACTTAAGTTCTTTTATACAGATATATTTAGTTCAAAACTAATCCTGATTGGTCCAAAAACTTTAAATTGAATATTTTCGCAAAAATTATAGGCTACACTTTTGTGTAACAATATAAAAATTCGCAATATCAAATTAAAATCTAAAATAGCCTGAGTTTTCAATTAAAATCCCAATTCCCAACAGTGATAACTCTTTTGTCTCATATATACCAACAAACTTATAATCAACACGTCGTTATCCAAAGTAAACTCTGTCAATAAAAAGACTTTAGAATCGAGCGGTTAAGAGACTTTTTTTCCGATATTGGATTTCATTTCACAGAAATGAAATGAATGGAGTTTTACGTCCTACTTTTAGCGGCTAATGTGCTAATGAAGACGGTCAATATAACAGAGTGCCAGAAGAACTGGCAAAGGAACTTTCACGATAAACTGTTTGCTGCCAACTTTAACCTGAGATTCCAGATACAGTTATTCACCGTGTCTTTTTGTTTTTCTAAGCGTTTTTCAATAATTATCGGATTATAGAGGAATTCTGTTGTAGTCTTTATGTATAGCACTGAGTTGATCCAAAGATGAATATAGAGGAGAGTGGAGCAAACTGGCCCCTGTAAGCTTTCAACAATACAACCTATATTCTTATTGACTAAATTTGAAAATCTAAATTTCATGTTCGTTCTAAGAGGTAGTATTCCTTTAAATTTAACTTTCACTTAAAGTAATGATGTTGATCACAATAACCTTCCTCTTTAACATCAACTTTTGTGATGTATGTGAAAAGAATATCGAATTCTATTGATGAGTTATTGAATGGAAGGAAGACAGTTAAAACAGTTGATTATTGTTTTTATAAATCACTTTACATCAATAATTATAGCCTTACCATATTCTTACAATTAAACAGAATCAGAGTAGTCACTCTTGATTGTCCTAAATTGATTATTGACAGTGGTCAATCTGTAACTTACTGACTCTATATCTGATCTCTGATAGTTATTATTGACAGTGGTCAATCTGTAACATACTGACTCTATATCTGGTCTCTGATAGTTATTATTGACAGTGGTCAGTCTGTAACTTACTGACTCTATATCTGATCTCTGATAGTTATTATTGACAGTGGTCAATCTGTAACTTACTGACTCTATATCTGATCTCTGATAGTTATTATTGACAGAGGTCAATCTGTAACTTACTGACTCTATATCTGATCTCTGATAGTTATTATTGACAGAGGTCAATCTGTAACTTACTGACTCTATATCTGATATCTGATAGTTATTATTGAAAGTGGTCAATCTGTAACTTACTGACTCTATATCTGATCTCTGATAGTTATTATTGACAGAGGTCAATCTGTAACTTACTGACTCTATATCTGATCTCTGATAGTTATTATTGACAGAGGTCAGTCTGTAACTTACTGACTCTATATCTGATCTATGATAGTTATTATTGACAGAGGTCAATCTGTAACTTACTGACTCTATATCTGATCTATGATAGTTATTATTGATGGAGGTCAGTCTGTAACTTACTGACTCTATATCTGGTCTATGATAGTTATTATTGACAGAGGTCAGTCTAAAACTTACTGACTCTATATCTGATCTCTGATAGTTATTATTGACAGTGGTCAATCTGTAACTCTATATCTGATCTATGATAGTTATTATTGACAGTGGTCAATCTGTAACTTACTCACTCTATATCTGATCTATGATAGTTATTATTGACAGAGGTCAGTCTGTAACTTACTGACTCTATATCTGATCTATGATAGTTATCATTGACAGTGGTCAATCTGTAACTTACTGAATCTATATCTGATCTTTGATAGTTATTATTGACAGAGGTCAGTCTGTAACTTACTGACTCTATATCTGATCTCTGATAGTTATTATTGACAGAGGTCAGTCTGTAACTTACTGACTCTATATCTGATCTCTGATAGTTATTATTGACAGAGGTCAGTCTGTAACTTACTGACTCTATATCTGATCTCTGATAGTTATTATTGACAGTGGTCAGTCTGTAACTTACTGACTCTATATCTGATCTCTGATAGTTATTATTGACAGAGGTCAGTCTGTAACTTACTGACTCTATATCTGATCTATGATAGTTATTATTGACAGAGGTCAGTCTGTAACTTACTGACTCTATATCTGATCTATGATAGTTATTATTGACAGTGGTCAATTTGTAACTTACTGAATCTATATCTGGTCTCTGATAGTTATTATTAACAGTGGTCAATCTGTAACTTACTGACTCTATATCTGTTCTCTGATAGTTATTATTAACAGTGGTCAATCTGTAACTTACTGACTCTATATCTGATCTCTGATAGTTATTATTGACAGTGGTCAATCTGTAACTTACTGACTCAATATATTATCTCTGATAGTTATTATTGACAGTGGTCAGTCTGTAACTTACTGACTCTATATCTGGTCTATGATAGTTATTATTGACGGAGGTCAGTCTGTAACTTACTGACTCTATATCTGATCTATGATAGTTATTATTGACAGAGGTCAGTCTGTAACTTACTGACTCTATATCTGATCTATGATAGTTATTATTGACAGTGGTCAGTCTGTAACTTACTGACTCTATATCTGATCTCTGATAGTTATTATTGACAGAGGTCAGTCTGTAACTTACTGACTCTATATCTGGTCTATGATAGTTATTATTGACAGAGGTCAGTCTGTAACTTACTGACTCTATATCTGGTCTCTGATAGTTATTATTGACAGAGGTCAGTCTGTAACTTACTGACTCTATATCTGATCTCTGATAGTTATTATTGACAGAGGTCAGTCTGTAACTTACTGACTCTATATCTGGTCTCTGATAGTTATTATTGACGGAGGTCAGTCTGTAACTTACTGACTCTATATCTGATTTATGATAGTTATTATTGACAGAGGTCAGTCTGTAACTTACTGACTCTATATCCGATCTAAGATAGTTATTATTGACAGAGGTCAGAGTTGTCATTTTAACATTCAAACGTGGATAATTCTCGACACACATGGATTTGAAGGCTCAAATTTCGACGGTGAGCTGTTAACACTATTACTGATTGGCTTAGCTTAAAAAAAATCCTGTTTCTGAGACTAAAGTGCGATAACTCTTTTTTCAATAAGGTTTTAGCAATGTGTGTCAAATCCTTTAATAAACGAGTGCAAAATTTATAAGGGGCCAAGTGGAAATGAGGGTCGAAATGGGTGGGGTCGAAAGTGGAGAGGGGTGGAATATAAAAGGGGCTCTATCCAGATCGACGTAAAAACTATTGTAATTACAGATATTACTATTAAAGAAATCTTAAGTCTTCAGAGAAACGTTTTGAAACTCAGTGATCTCCATCAATAATGAAATAAGTTGTATAAAGAACTATTGAAGAGAGTTCTATTAGATTTCAATCTCTTGAATAATATTTCTTCACCTGTTTACTTTTTGTACTGGAAACAACACGGACGATATGGAACAAGACATTTTGTGTTGCTGAACGTTGTGCAGTGTCGTGCCGTGTCGTGTCGTACCGTACCCAGTATGTATAGTTTATGAAATTATTTTGTGTCTATTTGGTTATTTTTTGTTTTGTTTTGTCGTTCCATATCATATCGGATCTGACATTTTCTGCACAGATAATTTCTAACACATTAGCCACATCCTCAACACGTACCACAACGAACAAAACATATTTGTATTCATGTTATAGAAAAGTCTCTGACGCCCAGACTCTCAGCTTTCGTCGACGCTGTACGTAGACAAAGAGAGGCTGGATGATAGAGGCCAGTATGGAAAATAATTCGAACATCAAGTCTCATTCGTAGGCCCCAGTTTCTATGTGTTAATATAATATTATATAAACTTCGGACAATAACAACAAGTAATTGTGTGAATTATGTCCACATGCTCCAAATGGATTTTTTTCTGAATAATTTCATGCAAAGTCTCGACATTTTGAACATTTGATTTTATTTTCTGTTGGACAAATCTGGAACCAGTTCTGTTAATAACCAAAACATGTGCTTAGAAGCTTTATTTAATTTTAATTAGATATAGAAATACCACTGTTAAAATAGTGCTCAATACATCAATTATAGAGAGATATAGAAATACCACTGTTAAAATAGTGCTCAATACATCAATTATAGATGATTGAGAAAATATCTATTATATTGAAGTTATATCTTGAGAAGATATCTATTATATTGAAGTTATATCTTGAGAAGATATCTATTATATTGAAGTTATATCTTGAGAAGATATCTATTATATTGAAGTTATATCTTGAGAAGATATCTATTATATTGAAGTTATATCTTAAGAAGATATCTATTATATTGAAGTTATATCTTGAGAAGATATCTATTATATTGAAGTTATATCTTGAGAAGATATCTATTATATTGAAGTTATATCTCGAGTAGATATCTATTATATTGAAGTTATATCTTGAGAAGATATCTATTATATTGAAGTTATATCTTGAGAAGATATCTATTATATTGAAGTTATATCTTGAGAAGACATCTATTATATTGAAGTTATATCTTGAGAAGATATCTATTATATTGAAGTTATATCTTGAGAAGATATCTATTATATTGAAGTTATGTCTTGAGAAGATATCTATTATATTGAAGTTATATCTTGAGAAGATATCTATTATATTGAAGTTATATCTTGAGAAGACATCTATTATATTTAAGTTATATCTCGAGTAGATATCTATTATATTGAAGTTATATCTTGAGAAGATATCTATTATATTGAAGTTATGTCTTGAGAAGATATCTATTATATTGAAGTTATGTCTAGAGAAGATATCTATTATATTCAAGTTATATCTTGAGAAGATATCTATTATATTGAAGTTATATCTTGAGAATATATCTATTATATTGAAGTTATATCTTGAGAAGACATCTATTATATTTAAGTTATATCTCGAGTAGATATCTATTATATTGAAGTTATATCTTGAGAAGATATCTATTATATTGAAGTTATGTCTTGAGAAGATATCTATTATATTGAAGTTATATCTTGAGAAGATATCTATTATATTGAAGTTTTGAGAGGATATCTATTATATTGAAGTTATATCTCGAGAAGATATCTATTATATTGAAGTTATATCTCGAGTAGATATCTATTATATTGAAGTTATATCTCGAGTAGATATCTATTATATTGAAGTTATATCTTGAGAAGATATCTATTATATTGAAGTTATGTCTTGAGAAGATATCTATTATATTGAAGTTATGTCTTGAGAAGATATCTATTATATTTAAGTTATATCTTGAGAAGACATCTATTATATTGAAGTTATGTCTTGAGAAGATGTCTATTATATTGAAGTTATATCTTGAGAAGATATCTATTATATTGAAGTTTTGAGAGGATATCTATTATATTGAAGTTATATCTTGAGAAGATATCTATTATATTGAAGTTATATCTTGAGAAGATATCTATTATATTGAAGTTATATCTTGAGAAGATATCTATTATATTGAAGTTATATCTTGAGAAGATATCTATTATATTGAAGCTATATCTTGAGAAGATATCTATTATATTGAAGTTTTGAGAAGATATCTACATACAACAATTGAAATGTACAAACAGGAGAAAAATTATTATCAATAGCAACATTCATATGTACCAATTTCAGTCGGTCGTGAATTTACAAGACCCCCCCCCTTCCCCCTCCCCCTTTGGGTCCTTGATATGAGGTCAAAAAAACTTTCATTAAGTTAGTCATCATACCCCTTTATTTATTTTTTATATCTAAAACTTGTAGTATATCAAATCTCACAAAAATCTGACCCTCATTATCAATATATCCATTTGATGGATCTTTAAGTACAGCCCATGGTATTTCACTTTCACTATTACTTCGTTCTAATGTCCCTGTATGCTCACTAGTCTCGACGGCTTTATATGGTGTAAATTTCTCAGACCTAGTTTCGATTTCAATTTTCTTATCTTTATATTTATTTAGAAGGGTTACGGTATATTCTATTTCACAAAACTGTACTTGAGGATTATCGTCGTGTAATAACTCAATATTAAGATATAAATCTCTATTATTACTTCCACTTCTAATAACCACATTACAGCTCCATACTACATCACGACTTTTATATTTATTTTCACTATAATATTTAACTTCATCATCCGCAAAACATAAGTTAGCAATCTTAAATTTAAATACATAATTCTCTCTAGATTGATCTGGTGGATTTACTACATTTGTTAACGGTTCACTCGTCCACTTATATTGAGGAAGATTTGCAACATTTGCTAAAGGACCACTACCCCAATTATATTGAGGAAGATTTGCAACATTTGCTAAAGGACCACTACCCCAATTATATTGAGGAAGATTTGCAACATTTGCTAAAGGAGCACTACCAATATTATATTGAGGAAGATTTGCAACATTTGCTAAAGGACCACTACCCCAATTATATTGAGGAAGATTTGCAACATTTGCTAAAGGACCACTACCCCAATTATATTGAGGAAGATTTGCAACATTTGCTAAAGGAGCACTACCAATATTATATTGAGGAAGATTTGCAACATTTGCTAAAGGAACACTACCCCAATTATATTGAGGAAGATTTGCAAAATTTGCTAAAGGAGCACGACCCAAATTATATTGAGAAAGATTTGCAACATTTGCTAAAGGAGCACTACCAATATTATATTGAGGAAGATTTGCAACATTTGTTAAAGAACCACTACCCCGATTATATTGAGGTGGAAAAATTACATTTGTTAAATTACTACCTCTAAAATATTGACTTGTTAAACTTGTTAAAGCACCATTACACTCTCTAGATTGATCTAGTGGTTTAGTTACAGTTGGTATAGGTCCACCACCCTCTCTAGATTGATCTAGTGGTTTAGTTACAGTTGATATAGTTCCACTACCCTCTCTAGATTGATCTAGTGGTTTAGTTACAGTTGATATAGTTCCACTACCCTCTCTAGATTGATCTAGTGGTTCAGTTACAGGTGATATAGTTCCACTACCCTCTCTAGATTGATCTAGTGGTTCAGTTACAGGTGATATAGTTCCACTACCCTCTCTAGATTGATCTAGTGGTTTAGTTACAGTTGTTATAGGTCCACTACCCTCTCTAGATTGGTATGGTGGTGATTTAGTTACAGTTGTTATAGGTCCACTACCCTCTCTAGATTGACCTATTGGTTCATTTAAAGTTGATATAGGTCTACTACCCTCTCTAGATTGATCTAGTGGTTCAGTTACAGATGATATAGTTCCACTACCCTCTCTAGATTGATCTAGTGGTTCAGTTACAGTTGATGTAGGTCCACTACTCTCTCTAGATTGATCTAGTGGTTTAGTTACAGGTGATATAGTTCCACTACCCTCTCTAGATTGATCTAGTGGTTTAGTTACAGTTGATGTAGGTCCACTACTCTCTCTAGATTGATCTAGTGGTTTAGTTACAGTTGTTATAGGTCCACTACCCTTTCTAGATTGATCTAGTGGTTTAGTTACAGTTGATCCCAGAATATCACTAACATTAACAATACCACACCCCTCTCTCCATTCTATATACGTTACTGGAGGAATATCAATCTTCGTGTTATCACAGAGTTTCTGTAAATCTTGGAGTTTAATCAGTGAATATATAAGAGATAAAGAGGGATCCTCTGTTGTAGTAGGACAGGAAGAATCTAATTTGGCCTTGATAGTTTTAATCTGGTACCCAACGTTCCTTCGAGTTTTTTCCAGTTCTAATTTATTCTTTTCAAAATTATTCTGAACTTCTTGTTGTCTTTTTTCATAACATTCTTCCAATTCACCAATAATTTTCTCTTTTTTTTCTTTGATTTCGGTGGATGCCTTATCACAAAGATATTTGAATTTTTTAGCTGTTTCTAACAATGTTGCATGAGTTTTTTCCAAATATTTGATTTTGTTTTTGAGAAAGTGTTCGGACCTTGAAATTTCTTGGACTACCATTTCTCTTGTAGAATCACATTCTAAATCTAATGTTTTATGATCTCTATGTTTTCTGTAAATACATTTAGAACATAATCCTAAATTACAAGTTTGACAATAATATTCTACCTCCTTCTTACTGTGATTTGGACAAGGATGTTTTGGTTTAAGACTCTTTGAGGGTTGGCTTGTTGGAATATCGGTTTTTCTTGGAGAATCCGTCGAGATTTGTAAACCCAAATTTGTTATAAACATGTCGACACCACCTTGTGGAATTCTAACATACTGTTTACAATATGGGCATGGAAATTTCTTCTTTATGTCACCAATATACTTTACCAAACACTCAAAACAAAACGAATGTCCACACGATAAGATTTTTGGAGTTTTGAAACTTTCTAAACAAATGGAACATTCTAGATTAGGATTATTTGGTAAAGCAGCTGCCATGATAAAATCTATATAACTTCCACAGACAAAACAGAATGATTTCACTATGTTATGGTATATTATCTTTCACTAGAAATATTGAAATATAGTTCTATATACCGTCCACAGACAAACAGAATGATTTCACTATGTTATGGTATGTTATCTTTCATAGAAATATTGAAATATAGTTCTATATACTTTCCACAGACAAACAGAATGATTTCACTATGTTATGGTATATTATCTTTCTCTAGAAATATTGAAATATAGTTCTATATACCTTCCACAGATAAACAGAATGATTTCACTATGTTAAAATTAAAATGGCTTCCAATGATGAATATGTAAACTTGTCGACCAAGTTTCAGACTTTAAATTTATATTTTTTCTAAGTATCACTTTAAATAACAAGAAAAATATCTGTCTTTTGAAAAGAACTCGATTTCGACGAAAATAAAAATAGGCATTATGTTGAATATCTATTAATAGTGGCTTTGTATGGCAACAGCTTTACCTGATTACAGGTCGACATGCCACAAAGCCCTAACTGTTTAGTAAACAGATGAACAAGAACTAGTTAAAACAAGTTGAAACGTCTCAATAGTGCAGCGGCATAGCCCCCATATATGAGGTATTGTGCATTTTGCGATACAAGCACCAAATTCGGTATACAATTATTTAATATAGTTTGAACATTTTGGATATGGAGCCACCTGAAATTCTACCTGCATAAGACTCCATTTTGAATTTCAAATTAGCCACTATAAGAAATCTTTAATTGTTGATATTTCCAAATCTATTCAGCTATAAACTTCTTACTAGCTAATTGTACATTTTAGGGTCAAGGTTCCGAATGGTTTATTTTTCAAATGTCAACAACTGCGGCCATGTTCTGTACCTTATTATTTATCCTACTGTTCTGTATCTTATTGGTCTTATGGAATAAAATAATATTTTATATCCAACTGTTCTGTATCTTATACTGTACTCTTGGAATGAAATGGAGTTTTTTCATCCTACTGTTCTATACCTTATTGTATTCAGGGAATGAAATGGAGTTTTATATCCTACTGTTCTGTATCTTATTGGACTAATGAAATGAAATGTAGTTTTATATCCTATTGTTCTGTATCTTATACTGTACTCTTGGAATGAAATGGAGTTTTTTCATCCTACTGTTCTATACCTTATTGTATTCAGGGAATGAAATGGAGTTTTATATCCAACTGTTCTATACCTTATTGGACTAATGAAATGAAATGTAGTTTTATATCCTATTGTTCTGTATCTTATTGGACTAATGAAATGAAATGGAGTTTTATATCCTATTGTTCTGTATCTTATTGGACTAATGAAATGAAATGGAGTTTTATATCCTATTGTTCTGTATCTTATTGGACTAATGAAATGAAATGGAGTTTTATATCCTACTGTTCAGTACCTTTTTGAACTAATAAAATGATACTGTTCTGTATCTTATTGGACTAATGAAATGAAATAGAGTTTTATATTCTACTGTTCTGTACCTTACTAGATTCATAAAATGAAATAGAGTTTTATATCTACTGTACTGTATCTTATTAGATTCATTAAATGAAATAGAGTTTTATATCTACTATTCTGTATCTTATTAGATTCGTGAAATGAAATAGAGTTTTATATCTACTGTTCTGTATCTTATTAGATTCATGAAATGAAATAGAGTTTTATATCCTACTGTTCTATATCTTATTGGACTAATGAATTGAAATGGAGTTTTATATCTACTGTTCTATATCTTATTGGATTAATGAAATGAAATGGGGTTTTATATCTACTATTCTGTATCTTATAGGACTAATGACATGAAATAGAGTTTTATATCTACTATTCTGTATCTTATTAGATTCATGAAATGAAATAGAGTTTTATATCCTACTGTTCTATATCTTATTGGACTAATGAATTGAAATGGAGTTTTATATCTACTGTTCTATATCTTATTAGATTAATGAAATGAAATGGGGTTTTATATCCTACTGTTCTATATCTTATTGGACTAATGAATTGAAATAGAGTTTTATATCCTACTGTTCTATATCTTATTGAACTAATGAAATGAAATGGAGTTTTATATCCTTCTGTTCTGTATCTTATTAGATTCATGAAATGAAATAGAGTTTTATATCTACTGTTCTGTATTTTAGTAGACTAATGAAATGAAATGGAGTTTTATATCCTTCTGTTCTGTATCTTATTAGATTCATGAAATGAAATGGAGTTTTATATCCGACTGCTCTGTATCTTATTAGACTAATAAAATGAAATGTAGTTTTATATCCTACTGTTCTGTATCTTATTGGCCTAATGAAATGAAATGGAGTTTTATATCCTTCTGTTCTGTATCTTATTAGATTCATGAAATGAAATGTAGTTTTATATCCTACTGTTCTGTATCTTATTAGACTAATGAAATGAAATGTAGTTTTATATCCTACTATTCTGTATCTTATTAGACTAATGAAATGAAAAATAGTTTTATATCCTACTGTTCTGTATCTTATTGAACTAATGAAATGAAATGTAGTTTTATATCCTACTGTTCTGTATCTTATTAGACTAATGAAATGAAATGTAGTTTTATATACTACTGTTCTGTACCTTATTAGATTCATGAAATGAAATGTAGTTTTATATCCTACTGTTCTGTATCTTATTGGACTAATGAAATGAAATAGAGTTTTATATCCTACTGTTCTGTATCTTAGTAGACTAATGAAATGAAATAGAGTTTTATATCCTACTGTTCTGTACCTTAGTAGACTAATGAAACGAAATAGAGTTTTATATCCTACTGTTCTGTACCTTATAGGACTAATGAAATGAAATAGAGTTTTATATCGTACTGTTCTGTATCTTATTGGACTAATGAAATGAAATAGTGTTTTATATCCTACTGTTCTGTATCTTAGTAGACTAATCAAACGAAATGTAGTTTTTCATTTTCCTCTTGGGTTGAACATTTGGGTTCCATTCCTAAAATAAATTTACTTTGCAGAAAATCCTGTAACAGCTGTTTTCTAGTCCACAACATAAGTCTTTCTCACAATTTGTATATTCTGGATATTTATACTACTGTGGCAATGTAAACACATTCTTTCCACTGACACTACAATACATGTCAATAGTGAGATATTATAATAAGACATTGTCATAATAACAATGGGATTAATGTGACTAATAGTTGATAGCCATAGATATAATCATTTTACAAATAATGCGTTCGCTTTTTTGGTGGGGTTTTATTTTGTCCAAGTGTCATTTAATTTAATGATGTCTTTTCTTCCAAAGCTTACAGTCTTATTATGCGACTCCATAATGACGACGTCAAGGAAGGTTGACGGAACATTGAAGATTTACCTCCCTTGTTGAAAGGGGCGTGGTTATCTTGTCGACCGCGATACGTCAATTGGGCTTATTGGGGCGCACTGTTTGCCTGGTATCAAACAGCTTGAAAGACATTCTCGTTCATTAATTCTTATAAAACAGCCCCATAGTTTCCAATGCATCTTTTTATTCACGAATTTTACATTTAAAGATATACATGTATCATGCTGTGCTTATAGGTGCCTTTCTATTTTTCATAAAAAATGTTTTAGTCCAATCAATATACCACTGTCTCAGATAATGTAGTATTTTATGTTTTTTAGTTTTATCCCCATCTGATCTTGTAGAAGACCTTTTTGTTTCGAAGGTCACCTGTGTTCCATACTCGAGTGGTGCAAAGACAAATCACAAATCAAATCGATATAGAGAAGATAACAGAACGTCTATTAATATCACGACTAGAGAAACCTTGTAGTATCTGATGTTTACACGTAAATTTCACGTGGGTCTAGATAACAGAACGTCTATTAATATCACCACTAGAGAAACCTTGTAGTATCTGATTTTTACACGTACATTTCACGCGAGTCTAGATAACAGAACGTCTATTAATATCACCACTAGAGAAACCTTGTAGTATCTGATGTTTACACGTACATTTCACGTGGGTCTATATAACAGAACGTCTATTAATATCACCACTAGAGAAACCTTGTAGTCTCTGATGTTTTCACGTACATTTCACGTGGGTCTAGATAACAGAACGTCTATTAATATCACCACTAGAGATATCTTGTAGTATCTGATGTTTACACGTACATTTCACGTGAGTCTAGATAACAGAACGTCTATTAATATCACCACTAGAGAAATCTTGTAGTATCTGATGTTTACACGTACATTTCACGTGAGTCTAGATAACAGAACGTCTATTAATATCACCACTAGAGAAACCTTGTAGTATCTGATTTTTACACGTACATTTCACGTGGGTCTATATAACAGAACGTCTATTAATATCCCCACTAGAGAAACCTTGTAGTATCTGATGTTTACACGTACATTTCACGTGAGTTTAGATAACGGAACGTCTATTAATATCACCACTAGAGAAACCTTGTAGTATCTGATGTTTACACGTACATTTCACGTGAGTCTAGATAACAGAACGTCTATGAATATCCCCACTAGAGAAACCTTGTAGTATCTGACGTTTACACGTACATTTCACGTGAGTTTAGATAACAGAATGTCCATTTATATCCCCGCTACAGAGCGAGCCAGTTGAATCTGAAGATAAGGAAGAATTATCGTGTGATGATTTTAATAAATTTACTACCAACGCCGTCCAACCAGTTTGATGACTGAAAATATAATAATATTATTAAAGTAAAGGTTATTAAAGTGATTATACGTCTTAGAATGAACATAAGATTTTCAAAATTTCAAACTTGGCCAATAAGAGCATATATATTTATCAGTAGATATACCTGATGTCATAAATAACATAACATAATCCGATAAATCCAAAAAAAAACTTAATAAAAATGCAATTAACTATTGAAAAACGCTTAATATTAAGATTAAGCGTTTTTCAATAATTGTTTAGTTTTATGAATTTCCAATTTTCTAGATTTTACAGGGATTCTGTTGTAACTTTATGACATCAGGTAATACGTCATACTCATATTGACTATTCCTGAAAATTAAATTCTATGTTCAATCACTTTAAGGGATTTCAGAGCAGTTTTCTACTATTTGTATAGTTGTAGTTGGACATGTAGCTCCTCTAACTCTAGACCGAAATGTCTGTCTGTCCCTGCCTCTGTTGCCAGCCTTTATTTGGAGAGATGAACATTTTTGTAGTCATACCATTATAGAAATACTTGATCAATTTCACGAAAACATTAGATAATTTAAGTATTCCAGTGTTTTAATGTTCTGATTTGAAAATCAATCAAATTGATTTTATAATTAGTTTTATAAACCAATTGGAATTCAGTAGATTTTTTGTTAGAATCATTCATTTGTCTTATCTTATGACGTCACTATCAATAACTAGGTATGTGGTGTAAATAGAAGATACACAAAAGACAGTCTAATCAAATACTTTCGTTTCGTTTCGTTTCGTTTTTTTTTTTTTTTATTAATTTTTATTTTTAGTATAGTCATCTATTTTCACTCTCAGTGGACTTGATAAACTAGTCTTTTGCTCCTGAAAATACACCTCTTGATCGCGTCACAAAAGGCCAACAATGGAGAAGGTGTAAACTTGCTTGGGTAAAGCAGGTTAGGTCAAAAGGTTAATTTGACGAATGTTCAAGACTACGGTCGTTAGACCCTACTGTGAAGTGGCTATACTAAAAATAAGAACTATAAAAAAAAGAAACGAAAGTTGAAGACATACACAACATAGATTCGTGTTATCTATTTGCTTTTGTATCAAATTTTGTTTGTCGTTCAAGAATACATCTCGTTGATTTAAATTCATTTGTGATTGAAAATAGGGTTCATCAAGGGTTCTATATTGGTCTACTCGCACACCATCAAGACATCAATTTAATACACAACTTACCTAGCACCACATCCTCTTCCAGTCTCGGCGTGGAAATATTCATAAAATAAAACCAGATCTTTAAAATGTGGATTTTTAGCATATCTATCGTCGTCACCTGAAAATCAAATAAATTAAAAATTAATAAATTAAATTAACAAATGAATAGAAAATGTGAAATAAATCATAAATCTAAAAAAGAATTATCTCTCCGAGAACATGGAGATCGCAGAGGGACGGAGTTTCTGAAATCATAAGGTGAGGGTGCATGGGAGTGGGTAGATGGCGAGTGGGGGACTGTCAAGGTGACTCTAAGCTCCAGGCATTTAGGCAAGGGCGTTGCTGATTTCGGTGGATTTGGGGGGCGGGGGTGGGGGGGGGGGGGGTCTGCAACGGAGTGTGGTTTGGAGTGTGGCAATGGAGTGTGGTCTGGATGACATTGCCCTCTTTAAAGTTTCACTTGTACATTTGCTGCTGTCACCCAACTCCCTGTGAGACCTAGATGTAAGACGAAATATTTACCATGACAAGCTCTATATCCATATACATCAGGTACAACAAGTCTGGATATTCGAGTAGCCAGTTCTCTAGCAACATCTTTTAATCTCATAAATTTACCAGATCTTGTTGGACATTCTACTTGTAGGGTGTCTCCATAAAAATAATCATATCTCTGCAGATTGTCAATTAATAGATAATTCACTGAAAATCAAATGAAATGGAGTCAGTACGACGTGATAACGTCATCGGAGATCGCTAAGGAAATGTGAAGTTCATCAGTAAAATGCAAATTTTTCACGTGGGTTCACTGTAGCACGTGACAATAAACTGTAGATATTTTAACATTAACTTTGACGTTAGGTTTGCTTTGACGTTGCATTGGCTTTGACGTTACGTTTGCTTTGACGTTGCATTGGCTTTGGCGTTACGTTTGCTTTGATCTTGCATATTAAGCTTTAGTTTTCTGCATTCACTTTGACGTTGCATTAGTTTTGTTGTTGCATTAGTCTTGACGTTGCATTAGTCTTAACGTTGCATTAGCCGACGTTTCCTTAGCTTTGACGTTGCATTCGTCTTGACGATACATTCGCCTTGACGTTGCCTTGGCTTAGCCGTTGCACCAGTCTTGAGACTGCATTAGCATTGGAGAAGATTGTATTTCAATTTGAAATCATTTAAACAAAACGAGAGGCTTACTCGGTAACCAAATTGGACCCCTCCAGTTACTGTTACCACCAAATAATTTAGTTCTGGACTCCCCCGGACAGTAATTCACGCTATATTCCACACCATTTAATAATAGATGTACCGGATGCTTGTCATGGACCTAGAACGAGTGAAAATATCAAACGAGCTAATCGCGAAAGATCAAAGGTAATACAAGCATATTTTGCAATTAGTGACGTCATCAAACACTTTTAGTCGAATTGCGGGAACCACAAACATCTGATTGAAAATTGAAATGGTGCAAATTGATGCTATCAGTGTCCCCGATACACATACAAAATTTAGAAAACCTCTTTACAATCCCTTTAAGATTTACTAATTACTAAAGTACACTACCTTAGAGAGAGAGCGGATTCTATACGGAGAGAGAAATTTTATAATGAAAAGTAAACTACCTTAGAGAGAGAGAGAGAGCAGATTCCATATGGAGATATAAATTTTATAATGAAAAGTACACTACCTTAGAGAGAGAGCGGATTCTATATGGAGATAGAAATTTTATAATGTAAAGTACTATACCTTAGAAAGAGAGCGGATTCCATACGGAGAAAGAAATTCATCTTCATCTAGTATATAACTAAGTATCTTAATAAGTTTATCTCTGGTTACAATAGCTAATAATAGAGTCTCGCCTTGTCCACCAGCTTCCATAAATGATATCTAGAACGATAGTCAACACCTCCTTGTACAATCCGATACAAACTGGGGGACTATTTTATTTTTAACCAGGATACAATTCAGATTTAAAGATCTGTACAGTGGGACAGGTGCGCCATTTTTAGTATTTCTGAATACTATTCACATATATTCAACCCTCAAATCAACCCCCAAACACGCATCTGTCCGTTTAAAACAGTTATCTGATTGACCAATACAGGTGGATATAAAATTTGTTTGAGTGACTAACTCAGTTGTGTTTCTAGGAAAAGAGGTCGAGTATGGCCACAAAATTTTCAAATGGAGGGTCACAGACAATTACGTCACTAAAATGTAAAATGAAAAAATTGAAACGCCACTGGATCGACCATCGGGTAACACTGAAATTATTTAAAATCAAGATCAAAAAGATGTTACCTTGTCAGCGATATCTTTCCGATGATCCAAAAACCACTTAGTTCTTTTATAAAACCCTGGGTGTCGTCTGAGTTCTGTTTCTTTCAAGACAAAACAAGTAAAAAGTGGAACCAATCCCACCATAGAGCGAACTTTCAGCGGTATACTTCGTCCATTGCTGTGTATATGATCGTAATAAAAGCCGTCCGCTTCATTCCATAAGCCTAGCATAGAATTAGATATTTTCTCACGGTATTGTGTTTGTCAAAGATGTTATCAGTCAGTGGCAGGGCCAGGTTCACGTCCGAGAGGAGGCGAAATACCTGAAGTTGCCCGAATTTCTAAGTAAGTTATAACATTTTTGCCCGAAAAACATGCCTTTGGTGCTGCCAGAGGGACCCCTCTGCCCCCTCTGCCCCCTCCCCTTTTTGGCTCCGTCAGTGTTATCAGTGAGAACAATCAAGGTCAAGGACGTTACCAGTCCTAATTATCAAGGTCAGGAACATCATTGTAAGAAAAACTAGTCACAGTCTAAGTCAAGGTCAAGGCCTTCAGCAACTGGATTTATAAAGATCAAGTATTAACTTAGATCAAGGATCTTTATCAGTCAGGGTCATCAAAGGTCAGGGGCATTAGCAAGATCAATAAAGATCAGTCATCAACTGAGGTCAAGGACTTTTGTCAGTCAAGGTCAAGTAAGGCAAAGGACTGTTATCAGTCAGGGTCAACTAGGATCAAGGGCATTAGCAAAATCAAAAACAAAAGTTAACTTCAGTGACTATACAGACAACTTACCTCGATTGCTGTTTCTGTTCATGGCGTCGACGATAGACACAAAATGTTCAAAAAATTTACTGGCCATGTCCTCGTAAATTACATCTCTTTTGGCCAGGGACAGGCTAATATCCAACATAGTGGAACAGTAAAACGCCATCCACGCAGTGGCATCTGCCTGAAAGGGAAGTTTACACTTTTTCTATAACTTTGTTCATTGATAGTTTTATTGTCTTGTGTTTCATGATTTTCTCGACTGAAACCATGTATTTCAGTCAAAAAGTTTTTTTTTTATATTGAAATTTCTAGATAACCTCCCTTGGCTTACTTGCAACAAATATCCGTCTGTTGGTAGAGGTTTCGATCGATCAAATAATCCGATATTGTCTAACCCTAGAAATCCACCAGAGAATACATGTTTACCAGTCGGATCTTTTCGGTTTACCCACCTAAAGAAAAGAAATAGAGTATTTACATTTGTGTGTAATCTTTATATTAACTTAGATACTTGTATATAAACCTACAGAATTGAATATCAACCTACATATTTCTATATAAACCTACAGAATTGAATATCAACCTACATATTTCTATATAAACCTACAGGATTGAATATCAACCTACATATTTCTATATAAACCTACAGAATTGAATATCAACCTACAGATTTCTATATCAACCTACAGAGTTGAATATCAACCTACATATTTCTATATAAACCTACAGAATTGAATATCAGCCTACATATTTCTATATAAACCTACAGGATTGAATATCAACCTACATATTTCTATATAAACCTACAGAATTGAATATCAACCTACATATTTCTATATAAACCTACAGGATTGAATATCAACCTACAGATTTCTATATAAACCTACTGAGTTGAATATCAACCTACATATTTCTATATAAACCTACAGAATTGAATATCAACCTACATATTTCTATATAAACCTACTGAGTTGAATATCAACCTACATATTTCTATATAAACCTACAGAATTGAATATCAACCTACATATTTCTATATCAACCTACAGAGTTGAATATCAACCTACATATTTCTATATAAACCTACAGAATTGAATATCAACCTACATATTTCTATATAAACCTACTGAGTTGAATATCAACCTACAAATTTCTATATAAACCTACTGAGTTGAATATCAACCTACATATTTCTATATAAACCTACAGAATTGAATATCAACCTACATATTTCTATATCAACCTACAGAGTTGAATATCAACCTACATATTTCTATATAAACCTACAGAATTGTATATAAACTACAGATTTGTTTATCAACCTACAGATTTGTATATAAACCTACAGATTTGTATATAAACCTACAGAATTGAATATCAACCTACAGATTTCTATATAAACCTACAGAATTGAATATCAACCTACATATTTCTATATAAACCTACAGAGTTGAATATCAACCTACATATTTCTATATCAACCTACAGAATAGAATATCAACCTACATATTTCTATATAAACCTACAGATTTCTATATAAACCTACAGGATTGAATATCAACCTACATATTTCTATATAAACCTACAGAATTGAATATCAACCTACATATTTCTATATAAACCTACAGAATTGAATATCAACCTACAGATTTCTATATAAACCTACAGGATTGAATATCAACCTACAGATTTCTATATAAACCTACAGGATTGAATATCAACCTACATATTTCTATATAAACCTACAGAATTGAATATCAACCTACAGATTTCTATATAAACCTACAGAGAGTTGAATATCAACCTACATATTTCTATATAAACCTACAGAGAGTTGAATATCAACCTACATATTTCTATATAAACCTACAGAATTGAATATCAACCTACATATTTCTATATAAACCTACAGAATTGAATATCAACCTACATATTTCTATATAAACCTACAGAATAGAATATCAACCTACATATTTCTATATAAACCTACTGAGTTGAATATCAACCTACATATTTCTATATCAACCTACAGAATTGAATATCAACCTACATATTTCTATATCAACCTACTGAGTTGAATATCAACCTACATATTTCTATATAAACCTACTGAGTTGAATATCAACCTACATATTTCTATATAAACCTACAGAATTGAATATCAACCTACATATTTCTATATAAACCTACTGAGTTGAATATCAACCTACATATTTCTATATCAACCTACAGATTTGAATATCAACCTACAGATTTCTATATAAACCTACAGAGTTGAATATCAACCTTCATATTTCTATATAAATCTACAGATTTGTATATAAACCTATAGATTTGTATATTAACCTACAGATTTGTATATAAACCTACAGATTTGTATTAACCTAGAGAATTGTATTAACCTAGAGAATTGTATATTAACCTACAGATTTGTATGATAACCTACAGATTTGTATATAAACCTTCAGATTTGTATATAAACCTACGGATTTGTAAATGAACCTACAGACGGGTATATAAACCTACCAGGTAAAATTCAAAACCAATTTATGGAAGCAGCGGGCAAGGAATGTAACGTCACGATGACCTTTGTCTCCTGACTTTCTGTAGACATTGAGACAGGCCCAGGCATGTACCGGAGGGTTCACATCTTCAAAACTAAACTCGTATGCTGGTATCTACAATAATAACACTGGGCGTAAATAAAAATGTTTTTTTTATTTATATAGAGAACCTCCAGACCGTAAACTAGGATTGTTTTTCTAGCCAATTCTATCTACACTAATCATTTGAAACCCTTTGTCTGTGTTTCTAACTTTATGACGGAGGCCAGTGCTTTTTGAGAATACTACTCTCATCTCACTATAACACTGAGCATTTTAGTCAGACTGACCAGAACACTTAACATAAACGACAAAGATACGAAAAATTGGGTCTCATATCGTATTTTGTAATACTGTATAAAGTAGAAAAAATAATTTCAGGCTGTTCTCTGCCCCTACAATGTGATAGCATCTTATAGTGTAAAACGATTACTTTTAGTGTAATTGAAAGAAACCACAGACGTCTGATTGAAAATTGGAAAGGTGTATATTGTTGCTAGCAGTGTCCCTGATACACATAATCTTTTTAGAAAACCTCTTTACAATCCCTTTAAGGCCGTAGTCGCACCTTAAGAAAAATAAAAACCGAGTGAACAGAATGAAACTGTAATTACCTGTCCATTAGGATGCATATACCACTCTCTGAGAAATAGTATCATCTGATCTTTGGCAAAATTAATATCAACATTAGCAAACGGGATCATGTGGAACGCTAAGTCCCAGGACGCATACTGAAATTCCAAAATATTTTAGAATAGAAGGCATATATAATAGCAAAAACATTATAAGCTATCTGGACTCTTTGAAAGAGGTATCAAGAATTTAAATTTTGTCCTCAAAATCATAGATATATAAGACATTTGCTCACCAAGTTACAGTTTATAGGTTGAACCACCTTAAAATTTCAGCATTTAAAATTTCTTTTTTCAAAATAATGCCGAAAGAAATTACAGTAAATCAAACCTGCAATTGAGCCAACCTTGAGCTGACCTAACCCCTGTATAAAAGCCGATCTAGCCCCTGTATAAAAGCTGACCTAGCCCCTGTATAAAAGCTGACCTAACCCCTGTATTAAAGCCGACCTAGTCCCTGTATAAAAACTGACCTAGTCCCTGTATAAAGCTGCCCTAACCCCTGTAAAAGTACCGACCTGACCCCTGTATTAAAGCTGACCTAGCCCCTGTATAAAAGCCGACCTAACCCCTGCATAAAAGCTGACCCATAGCCCCTGTATAAAAGCCGACCTAGTCCCTGTATAAAAGCTGACCTAACCCCTGTATAAAAGCCGACCTAGCCCCCGTATAAAAGCCGACCTAATCCCTGTATAAAAGTAGACCTTGTCCCTGTATAAAAGTAGTCCTTGCCCCTGTATAAAAGCTGACCTAACCCCTGTATAAAAGCCGACCTAACCCCTGTATAAAAGTAGACCTTGTCCCTGTATAAAAGCTGACCTAACCCCTGTATAAAAGCCGACCTAACCCCTGTATAAAAGCTGACCTAACCCCTGTATAAAAGCTGACCTTGCCCCTGTATAAAAGCTGACCTAACCCCTGTATAAAAGCCGACCTAACCCCTGTATAAAAGTAGACCTTGTCCCTGTATAAAAGCTGACCTAACCCCTGTATAAAAGCCGACCTAACCCCTGTATAAAAGCTGACCTAACCCCTGTATAAAAGCTGACCTTGCCCCTGTATAAAAGCCGACCTAGCCCCTGTATAAAAGCTGACCTAGCCCCTGTATAAAAGCCGACCTAGCCGCTGTATAAAAGTAGTCCTTGCCCCTGTATAAAAGCTGACCTAACCCCTGTATAAAAGCCGACCTAGCCCCTGTATAAAAGCTGACCTTGCCCCTGTATAAAAGTAGACCTAGCCCCTGTATAAAAGCTGACCTAACCCCTGTATAAAAGTAGTCCTTGTCCCTGTATAAAAGTAGTCCTTGCCCCTGTATAAAAGCTGACCTAACCCCTGTATAAAAGCCGACCCAACCCCTGTATAAAAGTAGACCTTGCCCCTGTATAAAAGCTGACCTAACCCCTGTATAAAAGCCGACCTAGCCCCTGTATAAAAGCTGACCTTGCCCCTGTATAAAAGTAGACCTAGCCCCTGTATAAAAGCTGACCTAACCCCTGTATAAAAGCCGACCTAACCCCTGTATAAAAGTTGACCTAGCCCTGTATAAAAGTAGACCTAACCCCTGTAATAAAGCTGACCTAACCCCTGTATAAAAGTAGTCCTTGTCCCTGTATAAAAGTAGACCTTGTCCCTGTATAAAAGCTGACCTAGCCTCTGTATAAAAGCCGACCTAACCCCTGTATAAAAGTAGTCCTTGCCCCTGTATAAAAGCTGACCTAACCCCTGTATAAAAGCCGACCTAGCCCCTGTATAAAAGCTGACCTTGCCCCTGTATAAAAGTAGTCCTTGCCCCTGTATAAAAGCTGACCTAACCCCTGTATAAAAGCCGACCTAGCCCCTGTATAAAAGCTGACCTTGCCCCTGTATAAAAGCCGACCTAACCC